TTAAATGTTAATTTGAAATTTGTCAAAAGTCTTACGAGTTGAAATTAAAATCCTATTTAAACTATAATTATGTTTATTAATTAATATATTATATTCTAATCATTCCAACAATGTTTGATTTCACAAGAGGAAAAATACAGACAAAAACTCTCAACCTTCACAGGAGAAGTTTCTTTACAGCGTAATAATATGTATAAAATTAATACGTCTTATAATATATAATAAATTGATCCTATGTAAAACGCCGTAAAACGCCATTATATATTTACTTGACGGCAAACAAGCAAGGACCGGAATAAATTGTACAAAGAAATGAGAAAATTTAATAATATTTATGAAATAATAAATAAATTAACGTAAAAATTTTTATTATCTTGTATCAAGTTAAAATTTAAAATAAAAATTTTAGAAAATAAAAAATTTAAAATCATTAATTTTATTTTAATATTTTGTAAAACAAGTTGTTTGCAAAAACAATCAAGAAGTTATTTTGCAGAATAATTTATTCAGGATTGAGGGGCAGTTTGACGTTGTTTGAATTTAAAAACGGCAGCGGGTTTTGAGTGGAGGATAGTGTTTTTTTCTTTCTATAAAACAGTATACGACTCACAAAATCCACGGAGGATCCGACGCAAACAACACAAATAATATGTTAAATTGCCAATAAATACCATGAACAAAATTGATTACGAGCCATTTTTTTAAAGGAAGAGAGTTAAATATTAATTTATTTTATAGAAAATCAACAGAATCTAATACTAAAATTTATTAAAACTACAAATTTATTTCGAATTCCGCTGTTTTGCATGCAGAATTTAACTATTAATTAGACTGACTAATTTAAATCTTTTATAATGTTTTTAAATAATAAAATAAATAGAAACAGAAAGCAAGTTTAATGTGAACTAGCTGTTCAGAACTCAGAGTCTAAACAATGAGCAAAGAGCAAAAAGATTACACATCTCTTGAATTTAAATATGGAAATTTTAGTTTAATTTTTTTCTCATTACCTTATTAAAGGAGATCTGAGAAGCAATTTACAACACGCACTTGAACTTCGACGCAACCGAGCGTGGAACGAGTTTTTCTATAGAATCACCACACCAGTTTGTTCCCTGAACAACAAACAAAATTATATCACACTTGGAGGAAAAACAAAGAGTCGTCGGCGCTTCCTTGCGAGAAGGAAAATTGCTCGTTTGTGAAATTTATTAATTTGCTGGCGACAAGCGAGCGATTATCCGGCGCGCCGGATAATGCGCAATTATTTTAATTGAGCGTCGCGTGCATGCTCGGAATTGCGATCACTTTTCGCGCTCGATTAATTAAGCTTGGAGGAAGCCGAGCGAATATCAATTAATTATTTGAGAAAGAATTCTTAAATTAACGTGGATCTTTCTCAACTTAATTCAAGGTTTTGTATCAAACCTGATTTGCAAGTATACTTAAATAAAAAAAAAATCCAGCGCAAATGAAGCTGTTCAAAAGCAGCGAGTGGCCACCGGCGTTTCGCGAAATAAATCATGTGGAAAACGACTCGCCAAAGCAATGCCAGCTGGCGCGGAATTTAAGTTAAACACGCACCATTTGCACTTTTCGAAAAAACAGGCCGAGACCATTAATATTTTTGAATCAGATATAAAATAAATCAGAAGGGAATGCCTGCCGAGTTTTTCGCACCATTATTTAAATTAATTGCAATATCTTCTCTGCTCGTTTTCTCGCCCCTGCTCCGAGCGGTATATTTGCATGTGGAATTACACAGAGAGAAAAATAGCTAATTCGTATGCATGGAAAACACTCATTACAGTCTCTGCACGACTCGGCTGACCTTCCCGCTCTCTCCACTTTTGAATATTCGAGACGAGCTTTGCCAGGTGCTGCGGCGAATTTATTTATTCGCTTCTAATAAATTCAAACGCTGAAAAGCATCTCAGTCCCTTGGGTGGCGAATGCGAATTAATCAAATTCAATAATAATGGCCGGCAGAGCGATCGTTAATGATTTTCTGGCGGCCGGCCAAGTCGGAAAGAGCGAGACACAGACTGATCACCTTGGTCCGAAGCACAAGAGGCTCTTGAAACAGATAAACAGCAAACAATGGTCTCGCGTTAGGTCAAATCTCAAGTGAACTCTAAGAAATATAGGAAAATGAAAAGGTTTTAGTGGAAAAAAAATAATTATTAAAATGCAAGTATTTTACAAAACATTATAATATTGATTTCTTCAAGCTGATGAAATTAAAATTAGGCCAAAAGGATTTAAATTTGAGTTTATTTTGGAATAAAAAGTGAAAAAAATTCAGTTCAAAATACCCAGAAGTAAATAAATATTTAGTTTAAATAATTAACTTGAAATGATAACAAAAAGAAAAATTAAAGGATTTTTAAATACAATATTATTAATTTTTAAGCAGACGCTCGTTTCTTATGTAAAGTTTAGCATTTTTTCAACTCCATGAAGTTTTTAGGTTCATTTTTTGCCACTAAACTTTTCGCAGGCAGGTGTTTCCGTTGCCTCGGCGGCATTCCTGCCAAGTTGATGCGGTAATTGATTTTTGCTGTAGCGAATTTCCGGAGACGTTTCGCTCTCTGCAGGAAAAAGGGACAAACGCGGCGTCGAAGAGCAGCCAAGCGGCGTGAAAAAGCGACTTCGCGGCCAGGCGATTTATTATGTACTGTCATGATCGCGCCAAATATGGTAATGGATGCCGGCTAAAAACACATTTTCGCATTACGCGCGCCAAGAATCGAACAACTTCCGGGGGACCTTTAAATTTTTTGTTTAATCGGCCAGCGTTTTACGACGCGCGGCCATCAAACAGAATTTTACCCGCAGCCGGATCATCTCGTGCGAGAGAGATGTAAATACAGGCGCGCGATTTTATCGGATTTAGGCTCGTCAAAAATAATGAGAGGGCTTTTCGCGCGGCCGCCAAATTGTTCGCGTCTTCGCCAAATAGGATGTGTGAGAATTTTGGGAAGAACATTTTTTCACCTTTGTGTTCGAGCTTAGTGTTAATTGGCAGTTGGAATTTGATTGAGAGTGCGACTTTGAAATTTCAAATAAGGAAATAAAAAAGTAGGCACTTACACAAAGTAATAATTGCAAGTCAATTTCAAAGTTTAAATTGTAACTGTTACATTTTTAATAATTTGTTTTTATTTATTCAAAATTAAAAATATTTTTTATAATTTATATTAGTATATAATTATGTAATAAAATTTTGTAATTTATTTATATCTTTTACTTTAAATTATAATTATATTTATACATTGAAAAGAAGAGTTTAACATGAAAATTCCATCAAATTATCATTAATTTTTTTTTATTATTACTAGAGTTTTTTTAACCAGTTTATATCTACACATGGAAACAATAGTAGTTCAAAAATATAGAGTATAACTATGATAAAATATGTAAAAATTTAATACTAGTAATATTCAAATATTTTCACTTGCTTAAGCATAAATTGCAATTTTGTATAAAATAACAAATTTCAAGTCAACTGAAAATCTCCTCGTTTTTTTCTGGTTGTTTAGTCTGTCTTGCATTTTATTACAAAACTGATGTGCTCATTGAAAAAATGTCAGTGTTTTGGTCGTAAAGCAGTAATTACCAAGTCTCAGCTTGAGGGAAAAAATGAAGCGATAATCGAGCCCGCCGAAGAAATAAATGGAAACATACAACATGTGTATCCCTTTAATATGTCACTCGGGCGCAGTTTGGAAACTCTCGTCTGGGTGTTTACGTCGCCAGATCCTGCTCAAACTGACGGATAAAAAAAGAGAACTGGGTGGAATGCGCCCCCGGAAGCTTTCGACTCGAATCAAAATATTATTGTTTGCCCGAAATGGAGCCTGTCTGGTCCATTTTTTTTCTCTCTCTCCGAAATCCGAAAGGAACAATCGGTCCGTAATGAGAGGTGATTGACACGAAAACGGGGCGAGGGCGCATCGCGATCGCGTGACGTCATCCCTATTTTTACGCGAGCCTGCTGGAGTGAGGTTTTTTTACCTGTTGGTAGTTCTTGCTTGGTTTTCTCGTTGAGCCGCGAGCAGAGGCACATGACAAATAGACCAAGAGGGCCCCATTATTCACGCGGGCTAAACCGGGCCTTCGATTCCGGACGGGCGGTCTGATTTTACTTTTTTCATTGTACTGGCGCGGGCGTGGCGCCAATTATTCTGTTATGATTTCCAATTCCGCGTTTCAAATTTCCCTGCCCACATTCCCACTTGGGACATTTTCAGTGTCAGGGACAACGTTGTAGATAGCACGGGATAATCTAATCCACCAAAAGCAGCCTTAAAGGATGACAGAAATGCAAAACTCCTTGTTATCTCTTGTTTACGTTCCTCTGCCTTACAATTAAGTGTGGCGGGGGTTTAAGAATTCGGCCAACGAATTTCTAAGTGTTAAATTTGTTAAATTACATAAAAAATAACAGTTTTTCACGGAGAAGAAATAAATTAACTGAAAATTAGTTAAATTTATCATATAAAATCTAAACAGGAATTAACTAATTACTCAATCCTTAAAAACCTGTCTGATTTTTAATTAATTTCTGTCCATGAGATTTAATTTGAGCTTAAACTAAAAGTAATAGAAAGGTTGAAATTAATATTTGATAATTTTTTTTTTCAAATTCATCACCTCTGACTACAAATTTATGGTTTCTAGTACTTTTTTTCTCTAATTTAATATCAAACTTATTCAAAATAAAATTTTTATATCAGAAATTTTGAAAAAAATCACCTTTTGAGTTTAAATTTCAGCTTAAAATTGAAATTTTAAAAGTGATTTGAAATTTGTTGGAATAATTTTCATTCATGATCGATTAAATAATAAATTTTGAGCACAGATTTTTTTAAACAAACCCCTCTTTTTTTTTAAAAAAAATTCAAAATTGAAATAAATTTGTCGCAGTTTTAAAAAATTATATCAATAAACAAATTTAAATTTAGTATTACTGGCATTCTACTTTTATGCCAACTGACCTGAAGGGTTGTCCGGTGACGATATGACAGTTGATAGGGTTGACGGCGGATCGGCGCCGGGGGTCCGCCTGCCCAGTGGGCAGCTCGGGCGGCACCGCTCTGGGGGCGACGCGGCGCCGCTGTTGGATTTGTTGCGGTTGATTGTTGACGCACTCGAAGGCGCACAACAGCCGCGCCAGGTGTTGCGTGTCGCCGGCTTCGATGCTCGGAGGCGGCGATTCGCGCCCCCCGCCGGGGGCGGCTTTCGGTTTAGTGGGCAGCGGGCCCGCCAGCGAGTGGCGTCGACGCTGACGCTCGCGTCGCGATCCTGGTGGCGTCGGCGCCGTTGCGCGCAACAGCTCCAGCATCGCAGTCTGCTGATGGCTCCACACCTGCCCAAGCACCACAAATTGCACTTTTTGCCACAATTTCAGATTTCACGACAAATTTTAAAACTTTCAAATTCTTTAAATTTGATTTAGTATTTTCTGAACTGATATTTTTTATTGTAGGTCCTATTGAAACTGAAAAACCCTTTGATAAATGAAAATAAAATATTAATTTTTCCAATAAAATTAAAAAAAGTTCAAATTCTGTAAATAAAATAAATTATTAAAAAAATGTGAATTTTAAGTAAAAAGATAATATTTGTCATTAATATTAAGATAGATATGGTAAAATTTTAAAATAAATTGTTTAAAAATAGTTTGTCGTGAATTCCGAGACATAGCAGACCGTGATCAGTAGTCGGCGCGATCTTCCCTCATGCGAGCTGAAGACGTAGAGAGAGGAGAGCGACGAGCGCACCCGAGAGCCGCGTTCGTTCGACTGACTGAAGAGGCGAGAGTGGAGCCGCGCAGAGGTGTCTGTTTGGTTTGGTCGGTCGGTCGCTTGGCTGGCTGGCGGGTTGGTGGGCTGGTGGGTATGCAAGGCCGAGCCGATGGACGCACCGCGAGACGAATATATAAAATAACAACTCGATCGCGGCAACAACATATCAACAGATGAAAAGAAAGGAGAAAGCACCCCCTGAAGTGCGTCTATTTTCGGAGGTAAATCGCCAACGAAATTATTTGCCAGCGAGGGAGGAACCACTCCAAGCGAACACGTGGCCGGAGAAGATAAAAAAATCGGTTTGGTTTTGCAGTCGAAACGGCCACTTTCTCTTTGAAAGTTTTTAAGTTGATTACTTAAGTTATCGCGAACGAAAAATTTATGAATTATTTAATTTTTAGATAATTTTAAAACATGGACAGGGTAAATTCTTGATTAATAATTCAAAATTTTAAATTTCATTCCATAACTTCTAAAAATTTCAAAACAAAATTAATAAAATAATAATAATCAAATAAATGCAAGTCAATGATAAATTAGAATTTCAGGTCAAAAATTAAAGGCCCTGACTCATCGAGAACAGATTGGCGTTGTAATTCAATATTAATTTTTATCACTGCGCTAAAAAAATGTAATAAAATCGTGTTGCCTGCGTTTGAGAGATAATTACTCTAGGCTGTGCTGTTATTTGGGTGGTCTGCCAATATAGCCGACTTATGCCGCGGCAGGATATATCATTTCAGCGGCAGCAGCAGCAAAAAGGGTGATGTCACTCGCCGAGAAACACAATTCCGCGGCCAAACAAGAGCGGTAGCCAATTTTCAAAATGATAATAGACCGCGCTCGCTATTGTTTCCAGACGAGGCACGTTTGTTTGATTCACGAAGTGTTTTACTGAACCAGAACTCAATATTGGGGACACATTTTTTCATTATTGCCCCATTTTCCTGCGAAGTTTTATTTAAAGTAAAAATAAAAATGACACCTGGCGAGCAGGAAGCAGTCAGGCTGTCACAGAGGCTATACATTTTTAAAATGAATTGATTTTCTGGAATTATCGCAAAACAACAAATAATTACACTCAACGATCGGTCTCCGTTTTCCCATTCGCTTGACATTGATTGAGCACAAATGTGATTTAACATTTTTTTTGCCTCCTTAATTGCTACAATGCTGGAGTTGCAAGAGCGCGTGCAATTTTAATTGCATCCTTTTGCAGGAAACCAGAGACAATTGGAAGCAGAGACGCTCTCACGTTTCCAGTCTATTCCTTCAGCAAACTGTACACTGAGATTATCGCGCTTTATGCAGCATGCAATCATAAAATATTTCAAAAGAAAAATAACTGCTATTCTGGACGCTATCTGTCAATCACTCGATCATAAAACAAACGGAATATCAGGAATTTATCTATGCTGATTACACATTGTTGAAACAATAAAAAAATCATAACAAGAATAATGTAAGTAAAACTTCATTTAAGATCGAGAAATGTAAAATTTAAAGAATTTGTAAATTATTATTACCTTTGTTGTTGTTGTTGTTGTTGTGTTTTATTCATCACAATTTAATTTCAAAATTAATTTCAATAGCAGTTTAATATGTATTTAATAAAACCATCTTGGTACAACTTTTGGTATTCAAATAAATTGTAATATAAATTTTGTTACAAGATAAGAATAATCAAACAATTACATCACCTATTTATAATAAAATTATGGTTTCCTTCTCCCCTAAAAATTATTTTCCCCCAAAGAAATTGAAAACATGATAATAATTCTTAAGTGCAAGTTAAATTGTAAATTTAAAATTTAATTAGAATAGTATGTTAGAGGGTCGACAAGTTTGACATGCTTAATGCTGGTCAGAGGCTTAATCAATCAATAGCTTTCTTTTTTTCTTTCTTTTGAGATGACGCAGCAAAAATGGGACGTCAATCAGACCTTAGACTGATGCTAGTCTGTCTATGCATTTGATTTCAATTAATTTTGCAACTTAAAAATAATCTCCGCAGTTTTTGTTCATTTGCCTATATGATTTGAAAAACCAACACCTGTCCTCATCAGCGAATATATTTTACGACGTGGGTAAGTGTACATTTTTACGCTGCGAGCCATTCACCTTCCTCCACTCAAGCACGAGGCTGATGTGGGCGCCGAATTGCTTTCAATGTCGCAAACGCCATTTGCATATCAGAAATGAGTATATTTCGCGCGCGAGAGAGAAACAATGCCGCGCCGCAATGAGGAACCGGAGAGAGCTTTTTCAAGGCGGCAAATTTTTCACTCTGACAAATGAGACAAGTTCGTGACTCAGATAAATAAATTTTGGCAAACCTCTGAATTAAAAATAAAAAATTAAACGGTTTAATTTTATTTTGCTGGAACTGGAGGAAAGTGTCGCTCACTTCGAGATGAGTAAAGGAGCCTCTGAAATTTCATCTGCACGGCGTCTGTGCTTTGACGGACGGCAGACTGGCGCGGGTGAGAGTCGCCAGCCCTTTTTCCCCGAGCTGAAAAAATCTTGTTCTTTTTATATACAATGCATTTCGTGCGAAGGGTCTAACTTTATATTTACATGGGAATCGGCGCCGGCCTCGTAAACGCCGTCTGGCGCGGCCGAAATCAAAAAAGACAGCGGGCGAAATCGCTTTTCACGGCTGGCAAAAAAGGCACCCCAACGGCCTCTATATTGGTTTTAGGGAAAAGAAACAAAAACCAAGGACACGCAGGGATGGAGCAGGAAAAAATCTGTAAGGCCTTAATTTATTAGGGGTCCTTTTTAATAATAAAAAAAAATTCACTTGTGCAATAAAAAAAAAATAAAAATAATTGAATTTCAAGAGTGATATGATATATTTTTAATTTTTGAAGATATTAGCTAATGCACAAAATTTTCAAATCCAATTTATAAATCATTTCATTATTTTAACTAAATTAAAGAGGAGCTTCTGGTATCTACACTGATTGTGAGAAAAATTATATACTGAATTGTTTCCTTTGAGATCAATGTTCATTATCTTGATTATATATATTTTTTCAACTCAATGAGGTTCATAAAAACTGATAAAAAATTAATTTGATAGAATATTCATCTGATGAATTTCATCAACTTGCATTAGGCAAACTTGGAGAAAATAATTATTTTTGAGAAAATTCCCGTATGATTGTGTTAATTTTGAAAAATTCATTTCTCCCAATGATTTCAAATATTTCTTACAATTTCTTGTACGTCATTCTCACAATTGTGGCATAAGAAAAAAATTCCCCTAAACTAATGCTAATATAAAGAAAAATTATAATTTAAATGAATATAAATGTTTTTTTTTATCAGAAGCCCCTTCTTAATTAATATTTCATTTTGCATTTTCCAATAATTAGGTTTTTTTCTTCCTTTTTCTCCCTTCTTTTTCAACAAGAATTTTCCTAGCGAGGACGTCAGGTGAGCAGTGCTGCTGACCCTCTTTTTTCTGCAACTTGAGAGCTTGTTAAAATGTATTGCATGTCGCACTTTTATGACCGAGTGTGCTGCCTGTCGGACACAAACAATAATATAATGCAGGGCGGCTGACGATGCGAGCTCACGTCCGATATTATATTTGGCACACTGTCAGGATAAAGCAATAAATATAAATTTGCTCGTTCTTGGCCGCGCACAACATGTGTTCGGGAACCATTTTAATGACTGGTCGGTGAGAATGAGAAAAGACGTAAAAGGAGATTTTCGAGAAAAGCTGCTTCTTTAACAAAAAAACCAATTCATCTCTGATTTGAATTTTTTACAAGTTGCGAGGCGTGACCGCATCTGCAGCGCTCAGTGTTTTTTTTTTTTGCATGGGCGAGAAAACGTCTGTCTGAGGCATGCACGCTAATTTATAAGCGCGTTTAAAGCGGCTCTTGCTTTATTAAACAAAACAGAGACGTAATCAGCTTCGAAGGGTTTTGCTCGCTCCGAACAAAGAGGGCTGCAGTCATGCTTCAGCTGCTCATGACTGCGCTTTGGTGTAAAATAATGTAAAATGACGATCGTTTCTCATGGATAAGTGTTGAGAGCAAGTTGAACTTTTATACAACGTGGTCTGATTTGGAGTGAAGCTAATGGCATTAACGGCTCATTTGCATGATTTGAGCAAAATAAAATAAGTAAAGCACTCAAATGGAGAGAGAGAAAGGAAATTATTCTTGATAATTTATTAATCGACAATAAACGATATTTTATCCGTGACATTTATATTAAATAGAGAGATGTAATTATTGCTAATATTTATTCTTCACAAAAAGCTATAATAAAAAAAGAGAAATAACGTAAATTTTATAAAAAATAAATGAATAAGATTTTGTTTGACGAACCAAATGTAACATAAATTTTAGAGTTCAAATTGTGTTTGTGCTTTTTGTTGAAAGATTTTAAACATTCTGGGAAAAAGGCATACAATTTTTCCCATTTTCTCCCTTTCAAAAAACCACAATGGCTTAATCGGTTATTCTCTCGAGACGTCATCTCCGTGAGCGGCTTCTGGAGGGTAATTAACGTGTTTGCGACAGCTCAAAGGATGAATAATAATTGATGCCTCTCTGTAGTGCTGTCTTCGCCCCCGCCGGAGAAAATGGAGCCGAGCTCTAAAGGAGTTAAATCCGTCCGCCTTAGAAATTCGGGCTCCTTCGTGGGGGTCGGACTGTAAAACGAGCATTTCGGGAGCTGCTCGCTCGTTTTAGGCTCCATCACTCGTTACTTTACATCTTTTAAGGCAAGATAGCCACACAGAAATTCGCGCTATTTAAAGAGGTATGCTTGATAAAAATCTTAAAAGCGTAAAAAACAGACGTTAAACCAAAATAAAATCAAAAGTTTATCAGATTTACTTTTTTAGCTTTTTAATATATAAAAAAGGGATGTTGAAAGAGATTTAGATAAAAAAAAAAGTTCAAGGAAAATTCAATTAGATAAGAAAATAAAAACGATTGTTCTATTAAAAATGACAAGGTGGCCT